GTATATAATGAGTGCATCTTTGTCATCAGCTGTTTTTGTAGATAGGCGTGGATGAAGTAGAGCTTCTAATCTCTGATCAGTCACTTGCTGACTTTCACTGCCCCTTCAAGGAATGTGCACATGTGACCTTAGGACATCTACAGCGTGCTCCTCCATGGACCGATCCATGCTGAAAGGGTTGTGGGAGCTGTAGTTCAAAACATCTGGAGGCCACCTATGGCGTGGACTTGGGCATGCGCATGTATGCACTGGGGCTGCCACAGAGAGAGCCCTTAGTGTATATATTCTCGTTCATGGCAGCTCCCTACAGATGTTCTGATCATTCCGACATAGGTAGAATGCCCTTGTGCATCCAGATTTACACACCAAGAGTGTTAGAAGAATCTGCTGCTGTGATTTTGCCAATACACTCGCCTGGTATGTTCACTGAGGGGAGGGGAGGGGAGGGATTTACCAAACATTTGGTAAATGAAGGTAGTTTTCTCAGATTAATTGACCAAGGTTTACAAGGATAGTACAAGGATACATTTCTTGTGTATGTTGCATTACCAGTCATGAGAGGGGTTGATCTTAGTGCTAACATAAACATACCTACTTGTTGCTGGCATTCTTACAAAAAATGCTGGATAGGGCAAACCTACACTTGAAGTCATGTGGTAAAACCATGACTGTTTTCTTAACCCTCAATGCATAGCAAGACTGGGTGCAGAGTGTGGTTTGCATGGCTACCAATATATTTTTTCTCCATAGAGACAGAAGCAAAATGTATAATTTTTTCTTCCTTTAACTGTGAGATGGGGTTGCCTGTCAAGGGGTCTTTGTGTATAAGCGGCCAGGAAAGCTTACCCTGAAGAGCCATGTAGAAGAGAGAACATTGTTTAGGTAGCTTATAGAAAAGAGCACCTACTGCAATCCCCTCATTTCTGTAAGAAACTACAGTGTACAAGTCAGGCTTGTATTTGGCTATTTTGCATGAGGAAAACATGAAGCTAACCTATAGCTTTGTTTGTTTGTTTGTATATCTCTCCCCCACTCCCCCCCCCCACAGTTTTTGAACCAAGATTAGGTTTAGCGTTGTGAAGGGTGACCAAAGAGACTGTCCCTCCCCCTCCCCAATCATTTGCCCAGCATGCTCAGGGCATGGGGCAGTGGCCTCTGATCCTCCCAGTTCAGAGGGGCAGTCTGCATCCTGAGCGTTGAAGGAGCAGTCCACAGTGCTGAACCCTGCCTTTGTCTCCCGAAGCAGGTCAACGCCATGGATTTCTCCTTTCATGTTCACACCACAAGCTGGAGTGGACACAGTGCCTTGGAGTAGCCTCTGCAGGCACTGGGCCCTGGCTGGACTGCAATGTGGAAGTAAGAAACACTATTCTAGGTCTCCAGAGCCCCTCCAGGTAAACAGAATGAGTAGGAGGGACAGAGTTAGGTGATGGAACACCTCCCTTGCTTACAGAAGGTCAATCCTGGTATCAGGACTGGGAAGGCCATGTGTCTGCGACCATGCAGAGCATCCGCCCATTGGAGATGACCACAGATAGGTGAGCGATAGTTCATAGACCATATATGGAGCACAGGCAAATTTCCAGTGGTTCTCCTAGTACATACTTGTTGCTGGAACTATCACAAAGAATTCTGAATAGGATAGACCTTGGTCTCCTCCAGCAAGACCTTGATTGTTTTCTTAACCCACAATGCATCCTTTAGATCATTTAACACAGATTCATTATGCCTTACCTGTGCAGAGATCCCAAGTACATACCACTCCACAACTGGGAAAACTGTGCAACAGGAATGCAAGCACATGTCTGGCAAGTTGCAAGCATTGGCATTTGCCTTTGGAATTGCAATCAGGGTGTCAAAAAAGGCATGCTTCCATATTTTATGAGCAAAACCAAAATTCATCAACATCTGTAAATCATTTGTTGGGCAGGAGAAATGCCAGTGTCAGTTTGAAAGAGGAAAATATGATTGGAGTATACCTGTCCCAGCCTCACTGGGCTTTGAAGGGCTGCATGGGTTACCTTTGCCTTCCTCCCATGACATGCCTGGTAGCCACACGCCCTGCTGCTGATGCGCCCCAAAGTCGTTCCCCTGTCATTCATGCGCTTGGAGTCTGTTGGAATGGACCACATGCACATACCAGTCTGTGTCTTCAGATTTCTGCCATGTTAGTGGGGACCAAGATCAAGTCATCTGGGGTCTTCCTTTGCATGAAAGCATTTTATTGGAATGCATTGTGCACAGCCTCTGAAACCTTCTGAATGTATGGCAGACAAGGGTGGGGGATAGCAGTTGGTCTTCTCAGACCCACGATCCTCTCCCAAGTTATTCCCATATTCTGTGGGGGTCCTGTCAAATTTCCCTCATGCAAAATGGAGGCATTTCCATGAAGGAGGGGAGAAAGATTGTGCTACCTCCAAAGACAGGAGGATATACATATGAGTTTAAGAACACCAAGCAACTCTTCAGACAAGTTTTTTTCCCCATGGATCCCAGAAGGACCCAGTCCATCATTACAGTGGTTAGCACAATGGAAAAACATTTCAACTTTCAGTTTCTCCACTTGCCCTGATCTGAATCCAAAATCACTGTAGCCTGTGTGAAAATTATAGAACACAGAGAAGTAGATATGCCAGAGTGTGGCACTTTCTGTAGATAGGCATCGTTCTCCATGCTGAAAACCATCCTGTGTTCTTGTATTGAGTCTGTATATAGAACCATAGAATAGTAGAGTTGGAAGAGGCCAGAGGGCCATTGTGTCCAACCCCCTGCTGCGTGTAGGACTCCAAGTTAAACCGTCCCTCTCTGATGGCTGTTCAACTGCATCTTGACTTTTACTAGTGTGGGAGAGCCCAAAACCTCCCTGGGTAACTGGTTCTATTGTCATACTGCTCTAACAGTCAGTATTTTTTTCCTGATATCTAGCTGGAATCTGGCTTGCTGTAACGTGAGCCCATTATTCCATATACTGTACTCTGCACTGACCGAGAAGAGATGCTGTCCTTCCTGTTTATGACAGCCTTCCAAGTACTGAAGAGAGTGCTAACATATCTCCCTTCAGCCTTCTTTTGAGGCTAAATATGCCCCGTTCTTTCACTCTTTCCTCATTGGGCTTTGTTTCCAGTTCCTGGATCATCCTTGTTGTTTTCCTCTAGACCTTTTCTAGCTTACATAGAAACATAGAAATATAAAAACAGAGCGAGTCAGAAGGCGTCTCCTGGGCCATCTAGTCTGACCCCCATCTCCAGCCAGCTTCTCTCATGACATGCCTACCATGTGCATGTCTAGCCTATTCTTGAACACTCTCACCATTGGGGCGTCAACCACCTCCCGTGGAAGCCCATTCCATACCCTCGGGGTCCTAACTGTCAGGAAGTACTTCCTCGCATCCAAATTGAATCTTGGTTCCCTTAATGCAGCTTGTTTGCATCGTTCTTATTCTGTGGTGCCCACAATATGCAGGAATTTTCTCTCATTGATAATGTTTTCAACTCTATCTGAATAATAGCAAAATACATTAAAACATATTTAATAGCAGCAAAAGTCATCCCTCCCAGCAACAAAGCAAGAAAGTGGATTTCCTCCATATGAAATTAACTGCAGCATCAGCCAAGCAGCCCTCTTATCCTGAGCAGATTGCAGTAGCTGCCTGTACAAGAGGATCTGCACTGAATGCCCGCCTGCCGCCATGTTTGGGATTAGTATCCAACTCTCTACACAGCTCAGGGCCAGGTTACCTCAAGGAATTGCACACTGGTGCCCGCCCCCTAGGCCGCATGATCCCATGGAATGCCTGTTGTCTCCACCATAGCCTTTGGGTTTACGTTTGCTGGTGATATAGAGAAGGTCTCTGCAGAAGTACCCACCCATTGCCCTGGGATATGGCAGGCCTCCACAGCAAGGTGTTTTAGAGGCTTATTGGAAATGTATCTGTTTGGCTTTTCCTCCGCCTGAGCTTCCTTGGATCCAACCTCTAATGTAATGCTGCTGTGTATTTTTATTTTTATTTTTGCATTCCTCATGAGAAGCAGTATCAAAATCACCACCACCACCTTCATCACCACCATCATCATTTCTTCCTCCTCTTTGGGAAAAGGAGGATTCAGGCAACATTTCCACCCACTATCTACTAATTATCTTCTTGCAAAAGCTATTGTCTGGGGAGATTCCTAGGGAGAGCTGTCTTCCACGTCCAATCAGCAAACTTGGGTTGCATCCTTGTAGTTCGGAGTGCTGTATTGTCAGTGTTTATCTCAGGTACTCAGTTATCCCCCAGGGCCCTGTGACTAGCAGCACTGCCTATATCAAATGGAACATCAGCTGCAGGTCTTGCAAGGAAGTTTAAACCACTGAACATGAATGCCCAGGGTGTCATATTTCATGCCCAGATAAAATTTATGCAACCAATCTAGGCATATGATTTAGGGATCTAAATCTGCAGTGGGACCAACAAAAACTCCAGTGAATTGGGGCAACCTATTGCAAAGAGCATCAGTTGTGATTTGTCCGTTATTGCTATAAAGACGGAGTCTGAACCAAGAACACTGAAAACAAGAGGGCCTTAACCTAGACAATACAGTTGTCTACAGCAAAACAAAAAAGCAAAACAAAACACAAGCACTGTTTGGGACGTTGTTCTGTGACTGCCCCCACCGGTTTAGCATCTTGCCCTTGGCTGCTGGCATTGATCTGCTCCAAAGTATGGGTAACACTCTGCTTCAAAACCTCAAGCTTTCAATCTCTGATATATTTTGACCGTATGCATACTTGAAAACACATAAATGCAACTTAATGTTTTCAGAAGATGTTTTGTTGTTTGTGTTGTTCTTACTTAAGATATAAGGTGCTGTACTTTTTGTAGCCTCATCACAGCTTTATTGGGTTGGGGGATTTTTCCCCAATATTATCAGATTTAGTTTGCATATTCCCAATCTCAGAAAACACTCTTTTCCTTTCTCTCTCTCTCTCTCTGTCTCTCTGTCTCTCTCTCTCTTTCATAGGCAGGGTGCTGCTGTGCCAGGCGAACCAAGAAGGATCCCCCGTTTACAGTGCCCCCAGTTCACTAGTATACACCTCCACAAGTAAGCCACTGCTACGGCTCTCTTTTCTGTTTTGCCTGTGAAATGTCAATCAAGCCAGTATCTCTTCCTAAACTGAATGCAAATGTTTAGTGAGATGTGATTTCAATGCTTAGCTACTGATGTGTAGACCAGCATTCCCCAACTTTGTACCCTTCACATATGTTGGACTTAGGAATCTCAAAGGAATCTGCAGTAGATTCAAATGACTTCAGATTTCTCTGATTCAGATGTCAGGATACCACACAGACCAGCTTCTTCTGAGTAACATGAATTCTCTGGACTTTTTTTGGAAACTTTTCTTAATTCTATGCAAATTTAGTCATAAAATACTATGAAAAAGCTCCAAAAATGTGAAATCTCCACCCAAACTAAAACATGAAAATGCACATGGGGGATTTGCATATTTTGAGAAGTTTGAACTTTTGTAAGTGCAATTTTTCACAAATGCATTCAAATGCACTCTTGCAAAATCTGATTCCATCAATGAGTTCCTGACAGAGCAAAAAGTGTCTAACAATCCAGGAAACGAAGACAGGATGGGTTTAATAAAGTCCGTGCATTCCTAACTGAACCACAACTTTCACCATTCCCAGGATGGGGAGCCTACAGATCTGGCGAACACCATGTTGAGGAGTAGAGAATGGACAAGATCCTTTCTGCTGGTTGAGAGTCACTGTATCGTATGCCACCAAGTAAATGATTTTACCAAATCCGTCCAAGAAGACATTAATGGAATCTTGGTAGAATGCCTAATTAGGGGTTATAGTTAAGATGGGGATTACAACTCCTTATGAAACAAACCCTTATGCAGCATTACACATTGAAAAGAAGAAAATACGTGAAGAGGGTATTTTGACCCCAGATTGCTCTGTGGTGGCAGCCACAAACCCCTTTTGAACTATTGTTTCAATCTGTTATTTTCCAAGCATCAAATGCTGCTCTTCTGATTTCGTTCTGTTTTTTCACAAAGCTGCTCCCCCAAATATTCCTGGCCAAGGTGCTTTGATGATATGGAATAGTTACAGGTATTCCAACAGTTCCAACAGGAATGCCAGCTCATGCAGTGTTGAAGAATAGTGGAGCTCCATTGATAGCATGAAAGGCCATTTGACTGTGGCTGAAACAAGAACAGCGGCCACATGGAGTCCAGGCCAGAGACAAGAAGGCTGTGTGCATGTTCAAAAGAGGGAGAGAGGAAAATGAGCATTTAGAAGGACAGTAGGCTGGGGATGGGAATGAGCTGTGGGGACCTAAAGTGGTCAGCATATTAAAAAAAAAACTGTCAAAAGAGAGAGCACGAGAAAGAAAATGATACCTAGAGGCTATTTCAACTGGATTACAATTTGAGTTGGCAATTGCGAAGGCATCCTTCCAGCATTCACAGACTTCCCCACCTGCTCAGCAAAGCCCCACAAAGTGAGCTGAGGCAAAAGGAAGCCTGCAAATGCTTGCAGATCCCCCGTTGGCAGCCGCCAACTATCCCCTGCAGAAAGGGGCCCTGAGGGTGGATGTGCCAGCTTCCGTCCCCCACAGCAGCTCCCTCCCCCCCTGCTGCTGCAGGCATTGCTGGCTTGCATGTAGGAAGGGGGGAGCTTGATTCTGGGAGAGCACCCTGTGGAAACCGGGCATGCTTGCCAGGAGCTCGGGCTCAGGCCCACTGCAAAGTGGGCCGGCGTCTGAGGAGCCCAGCCTGGGCACCCCCCCTCCCCAAACAGATTCTTCACACTCCCAGGGTACAAACTTCCAGTGCAGCTGGAGACTGCGGACCAAGTAGACCAACATTCCCATAAGAGTCAAAGGGAGCAAAGGAGGAAGTGTGGAAATTTCCAAATGAGCCAAAAGTATCCCCACTTTGTATGCCAGGAGAATATGGCGGCAATGGGTGCCACTCCCGTAGTAACAACATAATCATTTTTTCACTTCTGTCTCCTTAAGGAATGCATGCACTGTCCATTACTTTTAGCAGCAAGATATTGCATTGGCACTGTCAGTGCATGTGTGCCACTCTAGAAGTCCACGTACCTGAACATTTATCCCTACCTGTAACCACTGGAAGTACAGTTGTGGATACTGGAAACACTCCTCATGGCCTCCTGTGCCAGCCAGCTGCATGGACCCCTCTGGCTCTGCTTCCTGCGCACTCCCCGTGGGGGTGCTGTCAACGTGCATGGGGGCCCACGGAGCTGGGTCATGTCCAGGCACAAAATGCACGCAAATACCATCCACGCTGGGCTGAAGGCCACTGGCTGTGCAGAGCAAATGATCCGACGTGGCCTGGAAGCATTCTATGCAAGTGTGGCAGAGGGCAAATGTACAGACGTTTGGGACATCGGTGCCCAGAAGCCCTTCCAGCATGGGCATTGCAAGCGTCCGGTGTCACAGATGACACTGTCTTTGACAAGAACTGCTCTTCCCGTTCCCATGAACCTCTCGCGCTAGCTGCTGTGGCTTCCCTCCCTCTGCAGGAGTGGGGGCCTGCTGAGCTGGTCTGCTCACAGAGGCTGATACGGGGGCGGCTGCCCCCCAGGACTTTCCGCCTGGCTTGCCTGGTGCTGCTCGTGATGCCCTGGTCACATTCTGAGATGATGTGGGCATGGCACTCTAGTTCCATGTGCAGGGGCTGGCCTCCCTTAGCTAGTGCTCTTGCAAGCACGACTGGGCAAGCTGCCCCGTTCCCTATAAATTAAGCACTGCCTGAACTATTGACACAAGTGCATCTAAGTGTCTACTTTTCCCTGTAGGTAGGATCTCTCAAGCATCTTATTTTACCAGGGAACTAGGGGTCAATGAAACAGATGGTAAGATGGTTGGAATGGAAGTGGAGGAAGCCTCAGAAGTAAATCTAACTGTAGACAGTTCTTGGTCCTTTGTGAGCCTCCCCCACCCCCTGTCATGGTGGTGACTCCCCACACTGCCCTGCCTCCCACCCTGCATTTTCTCTAGATGGCCATTTTAGGGCCAGCAAAGTGGGGGAGGGGGTCCTGGTTGCAATCAATGCAGCTCTGTGTCCAGCTTCCTCTACTCCCACTTCACTAGCAGATCCCCCTTTCCCTCTGAATATCTTTGAGTAAGCACTTTGAGGATAAATTTGCTTCTTTTGTGACCCGGACTCAGCATTGCCAGGAATAGGCAGCTCAGTCTGTCTCTGGTCCTCATCAGTTCTGAATGTCTTCGTGTGTAGCTCTGTTTCATCCTATTACCATATTAATCTTCAGCTGAAAAAAAAATTAATGCCATTACCAGTTAATCTTTAACTATAAAGAAATCAGCAAGACAACTCAAATTATATGTGCATTTTAACTGTTTTTCTCTCAAAGTACACATTTCTAATGGTTTTGGAATGATATATTTCTAAACAAATTTTATCAGAAAATATTCCTTGTGTTGCACACTTTGAACTGCATTGCAGCGTGCAGAAAGGGTGAAATTCAAGGGAGAGCTGTGCTTTACTATGCACACAAATCCTGAAGGTGTGGATTAGTGGCTGTTTGTGGCAAAATGCAGATGGAACACAGTCCTGTATCACTCTGCATTAGGGAGCACATCCAGGCCCAGTCAGGGACTATAGGAGAACCTGAAGTTGCTGAGGCTCAAGGAACGTTCTGATGTGCTTGGGGGGATGTTGGTTGACCTGACCTTTGAACCTGCTGGCTCATAGCATCAACCAGGAAAGGACTGGCCACCTGGATCAGAAAATGGAGATAGTCGGTGGCCTCAGCCACCTTGAACTATTTGGTGGTGTTGAAGGAAGTGGCCATGAGGCCATTCTTTCAGAGAGCTTCTCTGAGCCTTTAAGGGTCTTGCAGACATCAGATGGGTGAAATACGGCTCTGGGGCACAGTGGTAGTGTAGCTTCTTGGGGTGCAGCTGCAACCAATTTTGGATGATGTGGGTTTTCTGGATTCAGTTCAGTCCATGTGCTGACTAAGTAATGGTACTGATGCTGCATTAATCACCCTGGCACATGACCCATGCTGAGACAAGGTCATGCCCATTCTCCTGGAGAGCATTCCTCTAGGTTCCACACATGTATCTTCCTGAACTGCCTGTCTGAGGTTGGGGTCGACTTGGCAGATTGGTGTTGTGCTCCATGGTAGCTATGGTCTGCTGTGGAATTCCCTGGGAAACTTTTTGTGCCCAGCACGGATGCCAAAAGTACATGGAAGGGCTGTGTGAGGCATTTGGAAGAGTCGTGCCATGTCACCAGTACCCTCCCCTTTCAGATGGTTCAGACTGGAGCGCTGATGAAGCACCAGTTAAACTACTAACTGGGAATGTTAACTGCATGTGCCTCACCAGTTTTAAAACCACCTCGAGGGCTCTTGAGGTAATATTTTAGCCTTTAAAGACCGAACCAACACGTGACCAAAACACCTCCAGGCCACCCCTCAGATGAACCTGCCAGGTATGACTATCCAGAAGCCCTTCTGCATATAAAGCACATGGTGATTCTGTTTTCTTTTTAATGCAAAGTGAAGTCCTTTGTAGTGTCTTTTCCTTGGTGCTTTGATTTGCCCTGGCATTTCCCGGTTGTTCTGAGTTTTGGTGTTGCTTGCTATGTCTAGCCATTTTATGGAAACTGTTTTCAAGTTCTTTTGGGATCCAGGAAAATGCAGACTGTTAAGTTGGATGCAGATGTTCTTAATCCAAGAAGGGCAAAGGCACAAGGAGAGGGAGCAACTTGTTCTCCTTCACTGCCTTTCTTTGCCCTCTTTTATGGAGGGTGATGGTCTCCATTGTCGCCGTGTGGTCAGGCCAAATGATGTGATGTTTATGTGGGGATATGTTGGCAACATACAGGTATGTGAGGGGATGTCACACGGAGGTGGGTAGAGACCTGTTCTCCCCTGCAGAGGAAGGCAGGACGCGCTCCAGTGGAGCAAAGCTCAGGGAGCCAAGTTTTCGTTTGGATGCCAGGAAGCACTTCCTGACAGTTAGGACCCCGAGGGTGTGGAATGGGCTTCCACGGGAGGTCGTTGAGGCCCCATTAGTGTGGGTGT